GGAAAAGGAAGAGAAAACTGGGGCATGGATAATCAGAAAGCCAGAAAAGTTGACCTAAGAGAATCTAAATTTAACCACCAGTTAACTGACCCTTTTAACCTTGAGAATTCAATGTACAGAAGAGCTTTACCATCACCACTGAATAACACATATGAAGTAGAACAAGAGTGTTATCTTATAATTTTGTATAAGCTTCTGCTTTGAAGCAATAGCAGGGATTTTGCATGTATGTCAGGATTGTAGCAAGATCCCTATTAAGTAAGGAAGAAAAGTTACTCAAGACAAAAATCAAGCTTCAACAAGTATAATATCACCCATTCACTTTTACCTGGTTAAAGTTTTAAGTGATATTATATGTATGTACTCTCTCTCTCTCTCTCTCTCTGTCTTGTACACACATATAATATGTGTATATATGTATATATATAAACACACACATATATACATATATATAATTTATGCTAGATCTAAGAAAGATAAAAGAAATTCTTCAACTGGAGAATCATTCAGTATACCTGGGGGAAATGATCCCTTAAAAAAATAGCGATATCTTACAAATGCAATATACTTCAGTGATGTCTGTTGATGGCTCAGCAGTAACACAGACACAGACGGACCTGAAGCACATGCTTAAGTCCAGAGGACCAAAGGCACATAACTCCAGTAAACTTTCATAGGGACAAAGAGGACATAAAGGAAGGGGGACTCTTCTGGAAACTCCAACTAGCCCTTGTGGTCTGTATCTCAATCCTCCTCCACCCCTGCTAACATGGTGTTATCTGCATCTTTGGAAGCCCAGAGGTAAAGCTTAAGTACTTGCTTTTCTACTGGTTGGTAAGCGATGGGCCTGATTGAAATGGTTGTTCTCTCTGTGCAATGCCACCTGCTTTCTGCCCCTCTCTGACTCTACCGTCCTAACTGTGAAATGGATTAACATTCCTCATTCAGACCTACCTCACGGGAATAAGGTTAGAAAAGTGAAAACATCAATTTAATTGTTTTGTACTCCATGTGAGAAATACTAGATTACTATTTCTTCATAGATACTGCTAGACACATTACAGGATGCAAAATATTGCTAGCTAGGATTCTGCTCTTTTTGTGCCCTGAGCAGAAGGACAATGTTATTTTAATCCCTTGGTGACCCTTTCATTCCAGTCCCCACTAGAAAAAAAGTTACTTTTTCAACAGGAAAAAAAAAAAAAGGAGAAAGAAAAAAAAATGTCCGTATTCCCAAACCTCATTTATGGAACATTCTGTTCTCCAAATTATAGCACAGCAAGCAAGCAAGTGGGGACTTTTAGAATCTTGTATCCAAGCCGGTTCCACACAGCACCCACTAATACAAAATGGCTTTAATTACTTTAATATAAATCCTGGAAATGTGCAGATGGATTGTAATAATTATGCAAAACTGCGATGGTCCTTTATAGAAACACAGATCTTGCTCTCTTAAAAGAGAAGGAAAGGAACACAGGTTCAACACAATATGTCAGGAAGCACATCTCCTAAGAAGTCCTGTATTTCAAATGCCAGTCTGTATGTTTCATCTGATGTGGTAGTTGTTATGGAAACTATGCTTTTTGATTGAGTAGCAGAATAAATACCCACCTAAAATCAGCATGATGGGCTAGTGCATAAATTAAGAACTCCCCAAGACCACAATTACTTGCAATTCTTCCTTGAGACAATTTTAAAAATGTAAACCACCTAATACGAGCTCAGGTGTTTCTGGGTGAGCTTCCCCTATTCCTTACCTCATGGGGTGTGTGTGTGTGTGTGTCTGCAATTCACACATACACACTTGCATGTTTCTGCTTGGTGAATAAGGCAACCTTATTCTTTGCTAAAAGACATACAATACATCGGAATACTCTCTTCTCTTCAAATAGTCTTCGGAAAGTCCTTGGGAAAGTGAAGCCGAGTTATTCTGATTACCATTTTTAAATCAACTAGGCCCTATATGAATGTGGAAAAATCCCTAGGCATGTGGGAAAGGTCAGTTAAACATAGTTTTCATATTTCCATGTGTTCGAATGTTAGACAGCCACTGATTCATATTGATAGTAAAATAACCCTCCATGAATCATAATACAAACACTTCTATCCTTTCATGTAGATATAATTTGCCCATTTGCTGACTTAATTAAAGACTGCTTGTATAAAATATGGAATAAAACATATTGACTTTTGTTTTCCTGTTTCACATTTCTACATGGAATGATTTGCCAGGGAAAAAAAATGTAGGAGCAACAGGCAAGCATATCACAAACTTCCCCATAATGGGCATGCATTCACCCATTGGATCAACAGCTTTCAATTTATTAGCATGACAAAGGACACAATTATTTTGGATATGCCTGAATGCAATTTTCATTAACTTTGCAATGATTTATTAACAAAAGTGTCAGGAATGTAATAAAAGCAGCAGGACTCCTCAAAATGCCAAAATAAAAAAAAAATGAAGAATACAGCAGAATTTCCAAACATGCCTTGCAGCATCAGGTCAATAAGGTTGCCTGATTCTATCAAAAGCATCACCATGGTGAGTGAACTCTGCAATTAACAAAGAGTAAGCACAAAAAATGCTAATATCTCATTTGAATGTAATTATGCACAGATTACTGTTCACTGGAACAAGAAAAGGGATTTTAATTGTCACCCAAAGTTACATGTAAACCCTGGATTCTAGTTAACTTTTTTAGTTTCGTTTTTTTTGGGGGGGGCAGGGAAATGGAGTTCATAAGAGAATGAAAGGAGTAGTTCACAAATTCTTCTGTTCAGAGAGACTGTAAAATGCATTTCCCTTGTCTAAGGTATACAACTGGCAAAGTTTTCAAATATCACAACTCCATGTATGTTGGCAAGGTTAGTTTGTAATAAGTTTCACCATTGTTTGCATTTTAATACTATTTGATCTCATTTACATGTTTAAATTTGTTCCTGTAATAAAATTCATTAGTATGTTTATCATAACCACATAATGAATATAGCCCTTATGTAAAATAAAAAATTGAAAGTACATTAGAGACATTACAAGCTGTTTGAAATTACTGTGCTTTGCATATTATACCTTATTAATTAAATTATAAATTATTTATTTATGTATTTCTTTAATCAGGGGCAAGCACTAGAACAATATTATATTAGTATAAGGAACACAATACAACTCAAAGCTAATTCACACATGAACCAATTTTACATACAGAGGCATCCAGATTCATTTTGCCATGGGGTGGCAAATACCACACCTCCTGCTGGGCATCAAGGGATATGAAACCCCTATTTAAAGGGCAGTGGGAGTGGGAGTGGGAGAGGGGGAGGGGAGAATATTTCTTATGCAAGTTAAAACTTCACTTGTTGGGATAATATCTCCCTTTGCCTTCTTCTTTTATGAGTATAATTAGATCAGATATGCAGATGGAAGAAAAGAACAAACGATTATACAAGTTAACGCTATACCCATTGTGTATAGAATCCTTGGGAAAAGAAAAAAATTATCTGTTGCATTCTTTTTTTTTTATTTTTTAAGTGTGGAGCAAAGATTTATAAAATGCAGTACGCACAAGCTACCTTAGGATGGATCGAAAGATGGAGCAAGGCAGAGTATTGTGAAGGAGAAAAAAAAGAGCCCGGTGTCTGGGGAAATTTGCTAATTCCATCTTGTTTGTTTTATAAAACCACAAAAATCCACCTCAAGGAACATCAGCCTGGCAATGTAACATAGGTCTATAGGCAGAAGCCTCATCCCACTGACATCTAACTTCATCTAAACTTTTATTTTTGGCGTTGCAGTTGCTGTTCAATTCATGGGCAGCTCAAGTGGAGTAGAAAGAATGCTGACCTGGAGAGTCACGCGTGTGGTCATGAGCAGTCATTTAATCTCCCTGAGCCTTAGTTTCTTTATCTAGAAAATGGAATAAAATATATCTCTACAGGATTGCTAGAAGGATCTAAATAGATGACTTGTATAAAACAACATACACAAATCACAGGACAGTATGGTGGTTAGAGTGCTGTGCTTTTAAATAGTAAATTACCCATCTCTGATATTTTCCAGCTTTATGACCTTGGCTAAGTTATTTAACATCTTTGAACTCAGTTTTCTCAGCTATGGAATGGAAATAATACCAATTATCCTGCACTTCCTATACAGCTTTGTTGAGATGCTCAAATGAGAAAATGAAAGTAAAGTTCTTTGCAACCTTAAGGTATTATACAATACCACTAACTATTCGTTTGGTTTTTGGAATAGCTATTTTTATTACACAGCCTCAGGCTATGTTTGTGCACACAACCAATTGGACAATTGGTTATTTCAAGTTTAAAATGGCCAGAGTAGGTAGAATTAACTTGGAGGGGAAAAAAATCTGTTGGTACTAAACTAGTTCCCATGTGGGATACCAAAATAAATAACTAAACAAATAATTACATATGCAAATATACCTATACACATGCATATATATGCATGTGCATGTATGTATATATGTGTGTATATATGTACGTATATGCATATATATGTGAAATGGTTACTGTCCACAAAGAAACTGCAAGTCTGATCATGTCAGTCCCCTATTCAATAAACTCCAGTCACTCCCTATTGCCTCCAGAAACAAATATAAAATGCCTTGTTTGTAATTCAAAACCCTTTATACCCTAGCCCCCTCCTACCTTTCCAATCTTCTTACATCTTACTCCTGGACGTGTACTCTGTGATTCAGGGACATTGGCCTCCTGGTTGTTTCCCAGACAAGATTCTTCAGCTCTCAGCCCTGGGTATTTTCTCTGGCTGTCCCCCAAGTTTGGAATGTTCTCTGTCCTCAGCTCCCACCAATGACCTCCCTGGCTTTCTTTAAGTAAGTGCCAGCCAAAATCTCACCTTCTACAGGAAGCCTTCCCTAAACCCTCTTAATTCCAATACCTTCCTTCTTTTATTTCATATTCATTCTGTATACAATTTGCTTTGTAAATATTTGTTTGCATATTGTCTTTCTCATTAGGCTGTAAGTTCCTGGAAGGCCGGGGCTATCTTTTGCCTCTTTTTATATTTCCAGTGTTTGATACAGTGCCTGGCACATGGTAAGTGCTTAATAAATGTTTATTGAATAAATGAACCAAAAAAATCAAAGAAAAGCAGATTATGCAATACAAACTGAAAGAAAGTTGGCAGAAAGTTAGAAAAAAAATTCACACACCCTAGCTATATAACTGGGGACAATTCAAAAATCTTCAGTGCTACCTTTTTAGGATAAAAAAAATTACAAGGAGGCTTTTATTCATATCAATGGAGAAGGTTTCCATACTGGGAGTCCTCCAATTAAATCACGGGTCCAGACTCCAACCCCCAGCAAAAGTATTATTATGAACACTTTAAGCATCTATGCTTTTTCCTAGTGTTGGTATTCCTTCCAGTTCAAACCTTTTTAAATAGACAGTCTTTAAGAAAGGAGATGTAACTGAAAAATTCAGCTCTGACTGACCTGGTGATGACCCTTTTTAAGCTTAGCTAAGCTGGTCCTATGACAATAAACCTACAGTAAATCCATCATAGAGCTTCTATTTAAAACCTCTAAAGCTTACTAACAATAATATTGAGACAGAATACATATACATATACATATATATATATATATATATATATATATATATATATATATATATACACATACATACATACACATCTTTCAGGTTTGCAAAGGGCTTTTTATTCTCACAATAATCCTCGAAGGTAGTTGTTACTGTTAACTCTGGGTTGACAGATGGGGAAACTGAGACCAAAAGCTGTTGTGACTTGTCCAAGGTCTCACAGCTAGTAAGTATCTGAGGCTAGATTTGAACTCAATTCTTACTGACCCAAGGTCTAGCATCCTATCCACTATACTACCTACATGCAATAGGATCTGTCAGAACTGGTCTCCTGCCATTGATACAGGCTTTAAGAGTCCTTAGTCACCTCTATGCAATAAGGAGGCATTAAGCTAGGTGCTTAGTGGAAAAGCAAGTATGTGTGTTCAAATGTGTGTGTGTCTGTATACATCTTAAATATTATATACACATATAAACATGTGCATACATACTAGAGAGACAGAAGGAAGATGTAGATATAATTAGAGAAGTAAAAAAAGTCATTGGACTATTTGGCACATGAAAAGACAGAGCACTGAAGGAATGATATCTTTAAAATCACATCACAGACTCAAAAGAGAAGAATAAATGTTAGAAATGATACTCTTAACCTGAAGTCTCTTAGCCCGTTTTAAAAAATATTTTGATAACTATTCAATAAAATTGATTTTCCTTATAAACTTATATATTTTAGTTTGTGCAGTTCAAAGCATTATTCTGAGGAAGGGTCTATAGGCTTCACCAGGCTGCCAAAGGGGTCCATGCAAAACAAACAAATAAAATGAAGAACCCCTATGTTACATTATTTTAACTTGATGATTCAGTATTAGATTTCTTTCCCATTTCTTCGTTCTCTATTTCCATTCTTTTCATATTAAGCAAAGGTACTGATGATATTGAGTTATAGTCTTGGTAGGTTACATCAGAAATATGGCCATTGATCTGTGAAACTTCTTTTGATATAAACAATTCTAGAAGAATCTATAGCAGATTTTAAAAAAATTATCAATGTTACAGGGAGGACTCTGGTGCAGTAGAGAGAACACTGAACTTAGAGCCAGAAAACACAGTTTAAAATCCCAGTTCTGCCACTTAAAAAATCTTCATGATCTTGGGCAAATTACTTAATCTTTCTGGGACTCTATTGTCTTATCTGTAAAAAAGAGAGAAGAGAGAGAGAGAGAGAGAGAGAGAGAGAGAGAGAGAGAGAGAGAGAGAGAGAGAGAGACAGACAGACAGACAGACAGAGACAGAGAGACAGAGAGAGACAGAGAGAGAGACAGAGAGACAGAGAGACAGAGAGAGAGAGAGAGAGAGAGAGAGAGAGAGAGAGAGAGACAGAGAGAGAGAGAGACAGAGAGAGAGAGAGAGAGAGAGAGAGAGAGAGACAGAGAGAGAGTTGGACAAGATGACTATTAAAGCGCCTTGCAGGTTTGGGTCTAGACTCTCATAATCCTAAATATATGGAAATGAAGAATCCTGATATAACGTTCCCTTTCCACCTCCAGTGTGGTAGCACACAATTGGCATTTCAGGTGTGGAAGATTGTGGAAATGCCCTTCTCCTCTCCCCTTCTACCATACATACACTTTAGAGCATCAAGAGATATCCTGTGTCTGCTTCCTTTCAGTCAAGATGGCTCAGGTATTGGTGTAGTGAAAAGAAGACTTTTAATTGATTGCTGAAACAGAACATCATGGATGCTATGCCTGTAATTCGTACCCCCCCAGGTAGGTGGGGATTTTCTTCTTTTCTTCCTCTTACTTTAGAAGTGGAAGGATTACTATCTGAGTTAACTGGGGGTATGAGAAGAGAAGTAAAGAAGGATGCAATTCACCCCACGTTAGCCACAAGTCAAGAGCTCATGGCCTTCTAGGCATGTCTGTGCCTGGAATGCAGATAGCTCCCATTTTTTATCTTCTTTCTTTTGCTAGGGAGCCTTGTAAGATCTTCAAAGGCAACTGGAGTCTTCCATTTCCCAGGCAGTCAAGCAGCAGGTTAAGGACTATTGGAGAAATTATGGTAGCAACAAACATCAGAAGTAAAGAAGAAAAGAAAGATAGCCCAACTGAAAAGGAGACTACCGGGAAGAAAAAGCCCATTGATATTGGTAAGACTGGGCTCAGTAAAGGTGAAATATAAAAAGTCTAAATGGCAACTAGCACCAAAAAAAATTGTGACTCTCCCGATAAGGCTTAAATATTAATTAGTCTGTTAACTAACTGTACTAGTAGTAATAAATTTCTGGATTCTGTCCTAAACATTCTGTGATTCTTTATCCCCTTTTCTGTGTGGGAATAAAACTACTTGTGCCATATTTCATTTGTGTTTGTATTCTTTTTTCTTTTTTTCCCTTTGCTGCAGAGAATCTTTTTACTAGAATCAAATATAATTGTTCTTCTGTAATTAAAGTGGTATGGATGAAAAATAGTATGACAAGTCTAGTTCTCCTATTGAGGGAACAGTAATTCGAGAGCAATGAATCCACGACAAACAAGGAGGCAAGAAGGTTAAAATAGTTTGACATAGGTTGTCAGCCCCGTGGCCTCGGCTGAGCAGCATCTGGCTAGCCATTGTTCTAGACTTAATGTTTTTTCATATTTAATTAAATTTTCATTTTTGAAAGGGAATGATTTTTCTCAGTTGCTTCTTTTAGATGAAGATATAAAAAATAAGAATAAAAAGCTATCACTTAACCTCTTTTGGGTTTGATTGACTAAGTATTCTATTTAAAAAATAAAAATGTAAACTATTTGAACTACAGAGTTCTGAGGTATCATAGGAGTTTTCTGGACAGGCAGGCAAAAACATTTATTGAGCACTTAATATGCTAAGTTCTGGGGATACAAATACAAGCAAAAATGAAAGTTCCTGCCCTCAAGGAGTTTCCATTCTAATGGGAGATGACAACACTTAAAAGGGAGCTGAAAAGTGGGGAGTAGATATAGAACATAACCCCACGGGCACAGAGGGGAGCACAGCCTGGAAGGAAATGAAATCTAGCCAGCCTGGGACCATTCCCAAAATGAAACTCATAACGGGAGGAGGTAGCCAACACTGTGGAGGAATGCTCCAGGGTGAGAAGACCCAAGGATGAAAAAGCAGTTGAATCACGGTAGAAAATTCTACATAATCAGGATGTCACAGAAGATTGTTTAAACAACATGAGAGTAGCCTGGAATCTTAAATGGTACTATATCCATGACTGCAAGCCTGTATGTACGGATATTGGTTTCATAAGAAGGAATCAGGATATTCTGAAAAGGTTCATTCAAAAACATCATTTTCTAATCAGTATATTCCACTTTACTGAGGGCAGATTTTCAGCCCAAAGAGCTAATTAACAAGCAATCGTTACACCCCAAGCTTCGAACCGGGGACGTGTCGATGGGCCATATGCAAATGAGAGAGACAATAACAGCCTAAGCACCAAAAGCATCCAACCCCTTCAGTGAAGTTAGAGGTAAGGCTTTGCTTTCACAGGGACTGGGAACATTTGCTTCACGCGAACCCAGCTGACGTTATGAAGCGAGGGCCGGATGCTACATGGAGAAATTATCTCCACAGAAAGGAAGAATTATATTTTATCGCACTTCCAATAATGCAATAGGTACAGAACATCCAGATGGCCTAATGTGATGTAAGTGCCTATTCTGATCAGCACATAAAAATATCTCAAAGGAAATTAACCAGAGCACCTGCCAATATTGGGTATAATGTAAAACTTGTGGATATTTCGTCAGTGTTTCGTCAGGTGGCCGAATATCTTTATGTGCGTGTCCACATTAACACTGTCTTAGGTTTTAAATCTTCTGAAGTACCCTGAGCTCTATTTAAAGGTCTGCTTAAATTTGTCTTCCATAACATCCAGTATACGCAGATAGGTTCTTAGTAAATTTTTAAAGAAAAAAACCATGTGATATAGGCCAGTGTATCCCAAAAGGAAAGTAAACAAAGATATATAGAATAGTTTAATTGAGAATCTAGGTTTACATATACATGTTTAATGCAAATACACGTGTGCAGTGCATACTTGCATATATGTTAGGCAACACGTATACATGTGTGTACAAATACACATGTGTATAAACACACGTAACTATGTATACATACACGTTTACATAATCAGGGTTATATTTAGGTAGTCACTTTCAAAATAAGTTTCTTTGACCAGAAACAAATTTTGTTCCAAATTATAGTTTCCTGAGCCTTTTTATTTTTGTAGTTTAAGTTTTAAAGTGTTTGTGTCTAAAAATCAGAAAATAACATGTGCAAAAAATAAGATAAAATAAATTCTTCTTTCACAATTTACACATAATGCAGCCAGTAAAAGAATCTCCGCTTTTGAACCAATTTCCCAAAGGGTAGAGCTGAAATTTCTAATGCAATGTTTCTTTCTGTCTCATGTCACAGGAGGAAGATCTGTTAAAATAAGAACTGTGGAATGATCATAATTCTAATTCTTTTTTTCCCCATACTCTGCAGATAATTCATTTTTCATCCAAAAGGCAAAACAAACAAAGAAAAATAAGGGGAAAAAGGCTTTCCCCTCTCAAATAGATGAGATAATTTCTCCCACTCATCTGTCTCCTAAAGGGGGATTTAACCTTGGAGGCAGCAACACAGATAGCACTTTCTACCTTAGACTTCTGGAGTTGTTTATTTATCAATGAGATTAAAACCTAGTTCTCATACATATTGCAGAAGTTTCCCTACAGTATGTTGGGAAATCTCCCAAATTTTTTGATTTGGGGAAGCATAGTTTTTTCAACTTATACTTAAATTCATTAGAAGGATGGTAGTACGAAATTTAACAGAAATTAATAGGTATGACAGGGGAAAACAATAAGTTCCACTCCTGTAGCAAAAGCAAAATGTAACTGATGGACAGGCCACATGTGCCCTTGGTATCTATGTTAAGTTAAGACATCTATAAAATAGATCAGAGCAGCTAGGTAGTACAATGGTTAGAGTACTTGACCTGGACTCACACACACACAAAAAAGCAAAAATCAGAATTGAAATTCAGTCTCAGACATTTATTAATTGTGAGACCCTGGGCAAGTCACACAATCTCTGAAGTTTTCTCAACTATAAAATAAGGATAATAATAATGCTTAAATCTTAGGGTTGTTTTGAAGATCAAATGGAATAATATTTGCAAAGGACTTTGTAAATTTTAAAGTGCTAAATAAATAATAGCTATTATTGTTGTTGCTATAGAAAAACTTCCAGAAGATTAGGTAGATCTCCTGTGGTGGGTTTATGGGAGGACATGAAACAGATTCATAAAAGGTAGACAGATGTGGATTGGTTGTGATCATTGAAGAGAACACCCATATTGATAATGGTTCTATCAAATTATCCAATCACATAAAAATTGTTATATAATTTACCCTTCTTTAGGCATTCAAAATAATTGCCAGTGCCCTAGCTTATCTACACCTAGTAAATCATCTGGTCAATTTCTCCTCAATTCATTTTCATTTAAACAATTGGGAGCCAGAAGATAAAGGATAACCTGTTTGGGGAGTATTTAAATAATAAACTGGTAGAATTATGCAGCTCAACAGTTTTATCTTAAAAAAAAATCCTTACTAGAGTTGAAACATTTTCGTTATAAACTCGTATTTTCAATCATATGTGGACTTTTAGGCATATAAATATTGAACTTGAGCACTTTGACTTTTCTCAACGTGTGTCTATAATTCCTTTTTGATTTGGAAAGTGCATTATTCTGTGTGGCTCCTTATAAATGGCCTAACTGAATTGTTAGGTGTTTTCTTTCATTCTCAAAAGTACTGAAGAATACCCAAAATACATCCATTGCCAAGTGAGTAATATATATCCTAGGAGTGTGAACCACTTCAGCTTACTGTTGCATCATTTCTGAAATTATTCTACAGGCTTACCACACAATGATAGCAGCCTGGAGGACTTAATCACCTTTCATAACGTCCAAGGTAGTCATAAAAGATTAGGTGTTTGCTAAGGTTCTTTCCAACTCTCAACACCTATGATTGCATGAGTTAGCTAGCTGTGTTGTAAAAGTCTAAGTATGCCGATGTACAACCAACAACAATCCATGACAAATGTAGGTTCCATCTAGTTTAAAAATAAAATGTCAGAGCATGAAATAACATTCTATTTATAAAATACTTTGCCTTCATTGTATAGGTACACAGGATCCATAGTATATAAAATTTTTAGAGCAAATATATGTTCAGAGACGTAGCTATTAAAGCTTAAAACTGTACTAAGACTGTTAGGACGGCCTGGGAGCAGGAAAACTGGTCTTGAGCTTTTTGTTCTCTTCATGTTAGTTACTTTCAGTGTGGAAATCAAGAATTTTATAGCTAGAATTCTAAGCAAGTAAACTGTGACCTATCAATATACTTCTAGGGGTTCTCTCATGTATCTATAAGCTAGTTCACCATCACCATCCTCTTAAGGGCCACTTTCAACAGGCCTCATCTCTCAGTGAAAAAGAGAGTGCAAGTAGCAATAGTGTCATATACAACCCTGTCTGCCATCACCCAATCCCCAAATTACCCCAATAAAAATGACAGAATCACATAATTGCACGTGATCCTCAGAGACCAGCTAGTCCATCCCATACTTGAATGAGAATTTCTTTAATAACATCCCCAGCAAAGGGTCAGCAAGATTTCACTTGAAGCACCTGTCCCTCCAAGGCAGCCTTTGTCACTGTCAGATAACGCAAATATTAGGAAGTTTTGGGGGTTGTGTTTTTTTGTACATGAAGTTCAACTCTATTTCTCTGAAACTTTTCCTCATTATTCCATGTTTAATAACCATTTAATAAATGCAAATGCTAGGTATTAAGGATTCAAAAACATAACTACTGTTTCCCTCAAGGAGGTTACATTTTGCTAGGAGCAGACAACATGTCCAGAGACTAATTAATGTGAGATAATGAGGGAGAAAAGAGTGCTAACAACTAGAGGGATCAAATTATGGAAGACAGAATGTTAAGTTCAAGAGATGGGCAAAAGGCAAGATTGGCTGGAATATTGAGTTCACGAAGAAGAATAAGGATAAATAAATCTAGGAAACTGGGGGGTGGGGATCCATAATATGGAAGGTTCCAAGTACTAGGTTGAGGAGTCTGCATTTTGTCTTAGGGGTGACAGAGCTCCATTGAAGATATTTTAAGTAAGGGAGTGACATAATCAGGCCTGTGTTTAAGGAATGCTAATTTGACACCTGTGTGGATAACAGACTCTAAGAAATATTAGAAACAAGGAACCTAATTAGGATATGATAATCTATGCAAGAAACGATA